GGGTTCTAAGGTTTTCTTTTAATAAGCTATGGCATTTGGGTATGTCTTACCATTGTGCACACACCAAAATGAGGCGGGTGGTAACAGGTTAAAAAAAAACTTATAATGTTCTACCCTAATTGTTTTACATAATTGTTTTATGGTCCTACAAACCAACAATATATTATAATAAAAAAGGCACAAAGTTTATCGTTCATGATCATACATAATAAACACCAATGAGAATGTAAAATTTGGGGATTTTTGTGTTCGTTATGATCGTACAAACTAATAGTGATGAAAAGGGCACTAAAGTTTTTCGTTTATGAACATGCAAAGTGAACAGTTCAATCCTGTTTTAGTCATTTAAGTTGTAGCTATTTTATATTTGTTATTTTTTTTTATATCTCACGTCGGGGAAGTGGGTGGACGGTGTAAACCTGCGTACAGTACCACGCCCACTACACCCCTGATTTTACTTCATGCACTAAAGCTGCTTTGCTTTTATTTTAGAAGTGTTTTTATGACATTTTTTGTAAGGCAGCTTCACTTTTTAATTGCTTACTATACCAGCTCGTCAAAATAATGTTATAACCAGTGTTGGGAAGGTGACTTTTAAAATGTAATCCCCTACAGATTACAGATTACACACACCAGAATGTAGTTTGTAACGGAATCCATTAAATTACTTTAGGTGAGTAATGTAATCTGATTACTTTGGATTACTTGATTTGCTGTAGAGAAGCAAAGACGAGGAAATCTTCACATAAGAAGTTTTGTCTGCTAAAAGAAAATAAAAAAGCCCAGACTTTACTGAACCAGATTAAAAGTACTATTGATAGAAGAGGAGGAGCAGCATGATTTAGTCCTGTTAAATCCTGGTTTAGACCTGGTTTAGAACTGGTTTAGATCTAGTTTTTATCTATCTTAGACCTGGTTTAGATCTGGTTTAGACCTAGTTTAGACCTGGTTCAGTCCTGGTTCAGCGCTGGTTTAGTTTTGATTTAGTCCTGGTTTAGACCTGGTTTAGTCCATATACGACACGAAAGTTCATCATCTTCACAGTTTTTTTGGTGAGAGTCACTTAAGTGCTGCAATAGTCGTGTAAATTTTACACATTTTTTTACATTTTAAACACAGTAATATTGTAATGTAACAATGGGGGGGGGGGGGTAGCCTAAAAAGTGAAAACAAGAAAATACCTTCATGTAAGCCATTTATTTCAACAAAGTAACTGTAATCCAATTACCACTCACTGAAACAGTAACTGTAACTGAATACAGTTACTCATAATTTGTACTCTGATTATATAACTCCAGTACATGTAATCTGTTACTCCCCAACACTGTATATATACTTCTTTTTATAAAGAAATACAATTAAACTTTACAAATCAAACTTTTTTCACACATAAACGGCACCGGACTATAAGGCACAAAACAAAACACAACACAACAGTTAGATAACTCAGTCAAACTTTATTTAACACGTTCACAATAACTCCCAACTTTGTTCAATTGTGACGCGTAAAATAATACTGAGTCTGAGATGCTAAATTGTTAGAATATTCACAATAATTCAAAGGTTAAGTTATAACTAAAAATAACCCATTACACTCACTTTTTTAGTCCATTCCTCGTCCACGTGGAATGATGAATGTGGCTACAAGTATTTTTTACTGCACAGTCACTATCTGCTCCATGTGTGTTTACATGCTGTTGCGTGGCCAAGTTTTGATGTTGTAATTGCACCGCTGTTCCTATGGAGGGCGCGCATGTCCTGTTTTTTTCTGGGGGTTTTGTTTATTTTCAGCGGGAGTGTGGTTTTATCAGTTTATGGTCAGATTTAGGTTGGCTTTTATGTTGTTACAAAGCCAAATAAATGAAGAAATGCTTGAAGTACTGTCTCATCTTTCATACCCTGCACCACAGTGAGCAACGAACAGGTCTAACAGTGCGCTGCAAGTGGTGCGGCTTTGTAGTTTACTGAAGTCGTACTAAGACACCCCAATAAATTCATACATAAGGCGGTCTGGATTAGAAGGCGCGCAGTCGTTTTTTGATGAAATTAGAGGCTTTTAAGTGCTCCATATAGTGAGGAAAATACAGTAATATAGCATTTGCAGTGTTGTGCATAAACGTTCATTTTTCAGTGAACTTTGAACTGAACATGACACATTTGTAAATCAAGAACTTGAACGTGAATTTGTTCAGATTCTGTGAGATGAACGACGTACATCACTGTTGGGGTTCAAGTAAACGTGGGAATTTGTTTTCACCTGATGAGTCAAGTGACAAGGTGGGCTCGGACTTTTTAAACTGCATGTGGCGCTGTCACTGCCCACGGGCTCCTCCACTCGAAAACTGCACAGCCTCAGATCACAAAAGACAAACACTTTTCAGTCTTTTCATCACAACAGAAGCCAAAATAAATAAAGTGACCAAAATAAATAAAGTGAAATGACGTTAAATAAAAAGCTGCACTAAACCTGCACACGTCTGATCTGTGAAAACATGAACCATCTCCAACACGACACACACACAGAACACACTCACCATCATCATCATCATCATCATCACCATCATCATCATCATCATCATCATCACCATCATCATCATCATCATCATCACACATCATCACATCATCATCACATCATCATCATCATCATCATCATCATCATCATCATCATCATCATCACCATCATCACATCATCATCATCATCACCATCATCATCATCATCATCATCATCATCATCATCATCATCATCATCATCATCATCATCATCACCATCATCACCATCATCATCACCATCATCATCACCATCATCACCATCATCATCATCATCACCATCATCATCATCCCTCTGTCACAGAAAGAACACTCATATTCCATTTAGTCGTGTCCTTTAGTCTGACAGAAGCTGAACCACATCAACACACAAGGAAAGATCTGTTTTTTTCAGCGCTTATAGTTTATGCAAATCATCATGTGGTTTTAAGTTTAGTTTCTGTAAAACATAAACAAATGTGTCAAAGCTGCATTAAACACATTATAATGTCAAACGGGATGATGTGGCTCTAGAGTGGTTCTGGTTTATATGTTGGAAAGTTGTTGTAAACTGGAAGTCAGTCTGAAAAATAAGTTCAGTCTTTCATTTACAGATCTCACCTAAAAATAAAATGAACTGAACTTTGAACTAGTTCAGGAAAAGTGTGAACTTGCACAACACTGAGCCTTTGTTTAATAATTAGGGACGGGACAAAATCTTGTGTCAATCTTGTGGATTGGATTTAAGTGCTGGGGGCTGGGTGCTCCCTTACAGATCGGGTGAGGAGCTCAGTCACACTGGTGGAGCTCGGAGTAGAGTCGCTGCTCCTCCACGTCAAGAGGAACAGCTGAGGCTCAGGCTGCTGTTCTGGATGCATCCTGGGCGTCTCCTTCAGGAGGTGTTCATGTTCCACCGGGAGGAGGCCCTGGGGAAGACCCAGGACACACTGGAGGGACTATGTCTCTGGGCTGGACTGGGAACGTCTCAGGGTCCCCCTGGAAGAGCTGGAGGAAGTGTCTGGGGTGAAAGAAATCTGGGAGTCCCTGCTTAGACCCAGCCCAGATAAGCAGAAGTAAATGGATGAATGTCTCTCTACATAATGTTTAAAATGCTTGAAATGAAATGTTATACAGTCCATGCACTTTTATATGAACTGTGACATTTCTAAGTACGTTTTAGCACATTTCAGAATACAAAAATACATTTAATGTGATCAATTTTTTCAATATGTTCATGAAGAAAAGTGTTTAAATAAAGCGTTAAAATGTTTTGGTTTGAAGTGAGAAAGTCTTTAAATTACAAAGTGCACCTTTTGCAAAACACTGAAAATGACTCGTTTTCAAAGATGCAAGTGAATGTTGTTGAAGCAGTTTAACGCGGAACTGAGGATTATAAAATTAGTTTCTATTTTCTATATTTCTGTTCCACGTCTGTTAGTTTCACTTTTGTTTTCCGGAGCAGGGCGCAGTTTGACGGGACGCAACAGTTGGTGAGGATCGTGCGGCTGATCTGCAGGTAAATCATGTTGTGTTTTTGGCTTTTCTACAGGGTGAACAGACTGGGGTTATCAAAAAGCAGGACACCGGGTCAGGGGGGCGAAGAAAATGGCGATGTTTGTACTTTTTAACTGATGATTTGTGTTTATATCTGAATAATAATACTGCAGTTGTGTGATATTTTGTGTATCAGGGAGTCTGGGGTCCTCATCGGGGGAATTTTTGACAGTTTACTGTATTTTATTGCATTTTATCCGTCTACTAAACCATACCCCAGTAATAAAAGACAATGTTGCCTATATTTATTTTATCGGGGGTTATTTTCTTGACAGTTTCTATGTCCCCTGTCACTTCCCACAGACAGGAGGCTTCAGTCTGATTCAGAGCAGGACGAACACTACAGACTTTAGCCTTTATCAGGACGTCTGAACACAGGTTTTATCTTCTATTTATCACGAGATGCTGCTGCTGAGGCTGAGACCATTTCCGTGTAGCGCGCGCGCGCGCCGGGGTTACGCGCCGTTACGAACTTTTTCATCTGGAATTAATGAACGTTTCTCCGCTAACGTGAGGTCAGTTTTCAGCAAATAAAAAGTGGTGTAGAGTTTGAGACATGAAGAACTGCGTCATGATCATCCAGACTCTAAAGAAGATCAAGTGTCTCCGGTCTGTGCGCGCGCAGAGGAAGGAGGAGTTTAGACACACAGCGCTGGAGAAGTGCTGTGACTCTAGACATGGAAGCAGAATCAGATGATTTTATTGTAGGTCCATGATTTTTTTCTCATCAGATGAGCAAAGATTGTCACTAAAACTAAAAGTGTCCTACTCACAGATATTCGGAGCGGCCAAAAGCTGATTGGTGGATTGATCTCTTGGTTGGTCTTGATTGGCTGTTGGATTCTGGTCATTGATTGGTGGGGCTTGTCTACGCTTCTTTCCTTATTTGGGTTGATTATCAGCACGTATTTGAAGTGTTTTGACTGACTTTTGTGGCCCTTCTTCCGTTTTGTGTGTGTCTGTGTCTCTTTCGTGTTAGTCACTTTGTTTGTACTTGTACATGTCTGACTTTGTTTGTGTTGAGACGCTTGGTTAGTTTAGTTTAGTGCCTTTTTGTTTTGCCACTCGATTCTGTTTGTGGGTTTATGTGATTTTTACCTTGGGCACTTGTGATTTAGTTTTGTCGTGTCTCTCTTAGTTTAGTGAATCCTGTTATTTTATTTCTTAATTTAGGTTATTTTATGTAGTATTAATTCAATACTGGCATGGTCTAAAAGTGAGTGTTTTTACTTCTACTTGCTATTATTTTTTATCATTTAACAAAGTGGGCCATACCGACCACTGTCATTACTTCAAGATTAATGTACAAGTTTTCAGATAATGTTGAGCTATTTCTTTCACAGAACGTGATCACTGCCTGTTTTGCATGATATTTGTGTCTCTCTCTCTTTGGCCTCTCTCCCTCCTCCTGACCTGCCCCCCACCTGGGAATAGACTGGGAATAGACTGGGAATACAAGATAGAAGATAATGCTCCTGACACTCCCTGCTGACACACCTTATCTAATCGATAGACTTTAACCTGCTCCTCCTTTTGTGTCTCTTCTTGCTTTGGTAAGTTGTTTTATTTATTTCACTGCAAAAGGTTAAGATTCCAATTTCTGTATTAAAAATGTTTAAAGATAAAATAAAAGTTGAATTCTCAGTAACTGCCTCAGCAAATTCTGCAGGATCAGCATGGACCGACACACACCAGGTCCAGAATCTGTTTCTCTGAAGAGTGACTGGTCCAAAGACTGGGATGCAGACTTTAAAAGGTTTGTGGACTTTGTATACCTGCTCTAGGTAACAGCACAGTCCTATTTACATTAGGCACAGACAAGGAGACGGGTTGATGTTAATGAGAAACAGCCAGGAAAATATTAGAACCGTGTCTGGATGTTTACTCACTCGTTTTAGATAAGCAGCGTTTTTTCCCCATGGGGGACAATAAAGTAGCTTTCATTCTTCCAGTTATTAACTACAGCCGCTCCACCGTGGGCACACGGTGTTTTTGTTTTGGTCCTGTACATTAAAGTTAAACATGTATGATAGCCATTGTCTATTATCAGTTTCGGCTGCAGGGTTTCAGTGGCAATGCTAAATTACTTGATGCCCCTGAACATTTCGTAGCCTCCAGTTTGTCTGTGTCCGGCTCTGACCTGTGTGTAGACTGGGACACGAGTGGTCTGACAGGTGGAGCAAAAGACTATTTGAATTTTGTTGTTTAGCACAGTGAGAGTTTTCTGTCCATGTAAATGTGTGAGAGCAATAATATTGTGTCTGATGCAGATAAAGCTACATCTTTAGCCCCATTCACACACTAGTTTTGAGTAAATTGCCTAGAACACTCAGCTAAGTGGAAGCACTGCTCTGTCTGGAGCTCAAGTTACCCTCATTTACACCCAGTCCTTTGCATGAGACAGGCGCCTGTCGTGCATCAGGGATGCGTGTGATTATTATAAATATCTTTTTTTAAATTCCTTGAGTGGATTGCATTTGTATAAAACAGCACATTTAATTACATGTCTAATAGATCACATGGCGGGGAAATGTGGTTGTGTGCATGGAGCCTCCCTGTGCTGTAGTGTCGTACAGCTCTGCTTATCCTCCACTCCTCTGTCCTCTTCTCTGCTCTTCCTCTGCTGCTGTGTTTGTTGTTTCTTATGAAATCCCTCAGTTGTCCGGGCAGAACAGCTCATCCAAGCTGCTTCTTCAGTTCTGGTCACACGCTGGTGGACACTTCCTTATATTTGCCTGAAGGGAGGAGCTAACTACACTGAAACTACTCTGGTCACCTTATACTAGATGTCTTTGTCCTTTCCTTGTATGTTCCCAGTAATTTATCTGGGACATTGCCAGATCAGAAATGAAGGGACCTCAGTTGTGGCTTTGTTCTACTTTGTTCTGGCAAAATGCAAGTAAAACTGCACGTGTGAATTGGGGTGCTTTTGTTGTAGGAGTCCAGAAGTCCCTGGTTCTGGACTGACGTGTGTTTCTCTGAAGAGTGACCAGTCCAGAGATGAAGGCCTTCTATTTAAAGCTGCTGCTCAAGATCAGGGGTAAGTGCTTCTATAGGTACATGTCTTTACTCACCGGGGTCTGGCCCATATCAGCTTCCTACGTACGACCTGACTGGACACAGGACACAGTCTTAACAAGGGCCAAAACTTGTTTAAATTGCACAAAAGTTATGATTTGACACAAACAAATAAATGACAACAGCTTTATTTTATCCATATATTGTCTGTATTTTGGATGGAGTGTGTGACAGTTGATTACATAGAGAGATCCCAACTTTGTTTTCTAAATTTCTTCACAAACTGCCACTTAACTAATGTTAAATTTTGATGATGTATATTTAGCACAGGTATTATCCCACCAAACCAAGTCATAATTGGCTAAATATTTTAATCTGTCAAATAAATTTTATCTTTAGCTGATAGTTTTATCCTGGGAACATTCTGGAGTTTCTGTAGCTTGTATTGCACTTTAACAAGCATTAAGCACGAGATAAATACAATGAGATTATTGTTCACAGAATATAAACCTTTTACTTTAAACATTTAACTGATAAATACTCGCTGAAAGTGTTTTCAGTCTGTTCCCTGACAGACTCGTAGTGCTTTGTTGCCAAGAGTTACTTACGATAGTTCTGCTTCAAATTGTTCAGAGCTGAGCTGAGTTAAATTTGACATTATAAATAATATGGCTATCTCTGATAATTCAATGATCATTTTAGTTTCTATTTCAAAGTGTAAACTCTGTGAAATTCTCATGAATACATTGAAACTGAAGAATAAGTTTGACTACAGTGAAAAAAAACACAAAATAAACATTTAAAAAGGAAAACTAGGTCAATTTCGGTGACAAATCAGGCAGTGACAAGTGACGCTACAGTCTTTTTTTTTTATTTTCTTTTTTTTTAAATCATGTCCGGACAGACAGAGGTCACAGCTGAAACTGAAGAGGCACAGAAACATAGATTTAGATCAGATAACTTTACGACATGTTAATTTATTTGTATTTGTTATGTTTAAATAAACAGGTCACCTTTCAATTAACAATCGCATCAACTTTGACGATGATATGGCAAACTAATCCTAGGTGATCAATTCAGAAGCTCTTTATCTCGTGGGGCCAGTGGAGAGGGATCTGCAGAGGGTGGCAGTTGAAGGCAGGCCTTGACCAGAACCTGGCTCTGGGGACATGGAATTCCACCCTGCTGAGGGGAAGGAGCCTAAGCTTGAGCATTACCGACTACATGGTCACATTTGGTCACATTTTATATAGCAGTCACCCATTCACACACACTCATACACCAGTGTACACATTAGGGGCAAGGTTGCCCAAGGACACAATGACAGTATTAATCTGTGGGAGCTGGAATCAGCAACCATTGATATTTATGTCAAGAGTGGGATTTAAACCACACAGTGGAAAACACTCCACCAACTGAACTACAGTCGTACACAGAGCCGCAGCTCTGGAACCCTCCACTTCTCTGGCATTGCCCGGGGGGACTTGACCGGGGACTTTAACGCCCATGTGGTACACAGCAGTGACATCTGGAAGGGGGTGAATGGGAAGAATGGCCTTCCTGGTCTGAACCTGATGACTTGAAAATCTTCTGGAGGGAGCCGGAAATAGTTTTTGATATCAAAAGCAGTGTCTAGATGGCCACCTTTGAAACCTTTCCTACACCCTAGTGGCAAAGTCCAACACATGTCAGCAGAACCTAATCGATGTACTAACCCACAGAATGAAGCTAAGCCCAGACGGAAACAAAGGAGAGCTCCCCCTGCTGGATGATGTGTTTTCTGTAAGTACAGACTTACCACTCGAATAGGATCTGGCTGCAGTCTAAAATGATTTTAAATTTATACTAAATTTCTAACCAGTGTGTTATCAAGTGGTATCATGTAGGCCTGCCACAATCGATGTATGTATGTGTGTGTGTGTGTGTGCGTGTGTGTGTGTGTGTGTGTGTGTGTGTATATATATATATATATATATATATATACATACACACACACACACACAATTTTTTTTTTTTTACATCATAGTTGAGCCTTAAGGTTTACCACTGATAGTTTACTACTAAAAAGGTTTTAGTTGAAGCACTATTGCTGTGATAAGTTTAAAAATTATTTTGTGAGCACCGAATGTGACATATTAAAGCTTAAGAGACAATAAATATGCAACATATGTAAATTTAAATTTTATTGTACTTTGACTTTTTTAAAGACATACTTTAGTGCAGTAAAATTCTTGAGCAGTAGTACAGTAGTACCTGTACTCCCACCTGCAGCAGTGTAGGTGCAGAGAGCTACCGCCTGTAGAAGGTAGACTTCAGTTCCATTGTATTAAATTATGTCTATTCCAGCGACTGGAGGAGGAGATCCTGACTTTTGTGAAAGAGAAGCTGAGGCAGTTCCACAGGGTCCTAGCCTCTGATTACCCAGAATGCTCAGAGATTGAGGAGGAGGAGTCGAGCAGCACAGAGGCGGTTCTGAACATCACCCTGGACTTCCTGAAGAGGATGAAGCAGGAGCAGCTGGCCAAACGCCTCCACAGCTGTAATACAACAAGAATATAAGAACTCAGTCCAAAGTTCACTACAGGACTCACCTTTATAAGGGTTTTTATTTGTGTTTTTAATCAGGGTCGACAGATACTGTTCACAGTGAACTGAAGACGCATCTGCAGCAGAGGTTCAGCCGTGTGTTTGAGGGCGTGGCTAAAGCAGGAAACTCTGCGCCCTTGAACCAGATCTACACAGAGCTCTACATCACAGAGGGCGAGGCCTCAGAGGTCAACCAGGAACATGAGGTCAGACACATCGAGGCAGCGTCCAGGAAACTAACCACTCCAGAAACCACCATCACATGTGAAGAGCTTTTTAAAGGCCATGCCCAAAGACAAAGACCAATCAGATTTGTGCTGACAAAGGGCGTGGCCGGCGTGGGGAAAACAGTGCTGACTCAGAAGTTCAGTCTGGACTGGGCTGAAGGTCGGGCCCACCAGGACCTCCAACTGCTGTTCCCGTTCACTTTCAGAGAGCTCAATGTGCTCAGAGACACACAGTTCAGTCTGGTGGAGCTGCTGCACCACTTCTTCAGTCCATCTAAAGTTCTCTGGAGCTTCCAACAGCTCCAGGTGCTCTTCATCTTTGATGGTCTGGACGAGTGCAGACTTCCTCTGGACTTTAATGGAAGCAAGGTCCTAACTGACCCCACAGTCAGGACTTCGGTGCACGTGCTGCTGGTGAACCTCATCAGGGGGAGCCTGCTTCCCTCCGCTCGCCTCTGGATAACCACGCGCCCCGCCGCAGCCAATCAGATCCCTGCTGAGTGCGTCTCCATGGTGACAGAGGTGCGAGGGTTCACTGACCTACAGAAGGAGGAGTACTTCAGGAAGAGGTTCAGAGACCAGGCCACAGCCGTCATCTCCCACATCAAGAGCATCCGCAGCCTCCACATCATGAGCCACATGCCGATCTTCTGCTGGATCCTCTCCACAGTTCTACAGAAGCTTCTTGAACAAACAAAGGAACCAGAGCTGCCCCGGACTCTCACACAGATGTACATCTATTTCCTGGTGGTCCAGGTCAAAGTCCAGAACATCAAGTATCACCAGGGATCAGGGGCAGACCTTCACTGGACACCAGAGACCATGGAGATGGTGCTGTCTCTGGGAAAACTGGCCTTTGAGCAGCTGCAGAAAGGAAACCTGATCTTCTACGAGAGTGACCTGAGCGAGTGTGGGCTGGACGCTGCAGCGGCCTCAGTGTACTCCGGAGTGTTCACACAGATCTTTAGAGAGGAGCCAGGCCTGTACCAGGACAAGGTCTACTCCTTCATCCATCTGAGTGTGCAGGAGTTTCTAGCTGCTCTACATGTCCATCAGACCTTCTATGGCTCTGGAGTCAACCTGATGTTCACAGAACAGACCTCTGAGAGAACTGGACAGAGGAGAAAAAGTAGATCACAGATATTAAAAAGTTTGCGGTTTCTTAAAGAAAAATCAAGGAAACCAACAATGGAAGCTGAGTGGAGCTTTTACTGCTCTGCTGTGGACCAGGCCCTACAGAGTCCAAATGGACATCTGGACCTATTCCTGCGCTTCCTCCTGGGACTGTCTCTCTCGACCAATCAGAGCCTGCTCCCAGGCTTGCTGACTCAGGCAGAAAGCTTTCAATCAACATATGTCAGTGAAAATTACAATATAGTACGTTACATTAAGTATAGGCTTGATGAGGCTCTGTCTCCAGAGAGAAGTCTGAACCTGTTGCACTGTCTGAATGAGATGAATGACCACAGTCTGGTGGAGCAAATACAGAACAACATGAGAGAAGGAGGTCTCTGTAATGGATACATGTCTTCAGCTAAGTGGTCGGCTTTGGCCTTCCTCTTGCTGTCCTCAAACTCAGACTTGGAGGAGTTTGACCTGAAGAAATACAAGCCCTCAGAGAAGGGTTTCATGAGACTGCTGCCAGTTGTCCAAGCCTCCACTAAAGCCATGTGAGTGCAGACTTTAAACAGTTCTGTGGTATGACCAGACTCTAATATTCCCTTCTCTTCTCAGTCTTTCCAGCTGTGTCCTCTCTCCTCACAGCTGTGGTCTTCTAGCCTCAGCCCTCAGCTCCTCCAGTTTGACACATTTGGATCTCAGCAACAACGACCTTCAGGATTCAGGAGTGGAGCAGCTGAGTTCTGGCCTGAAGAGCGCCACCTGCAGATTGGAAACCCTCAGGTGAGTCCATAGACTGGGTGTTTTTGTTTTTTTTTTTTTTTTTTTTGATACAATCATGTAAAGCGGGTTAAGTCAAACATTTTGAGACCAAAATGGCAAGGCTCACCGCAGCAGTTACAGAGAGAGGGGAGATAATATTCTAATGTAAGTCAATGGGAGCCAGAGTCAGAAGGAGCTGGAAGAGCCGCATGAGAACTTCCTATTTGGAATGTGGCGGCTAATGTGTTAACTATTACCAGTTACTTAAACAGTTTAGGGGTAAGTCTTTCTACATTGTGTACACACTGGTGTACAGCTGCCTCCTCGTGTCCACATTATTGGGTAATGCTGAGTGTCTTTAGGCTGTCTGGATGTCTGGTCTCAGAGAGGGGCGGGGCTGCTCTGTCCTCAGCTCTGAGCTCCGCCCCCTCCCACCTCAGAGAGTTAGACCTGAGCTACAACCATCCAGGACCCTCAGCAGAGCTCCTGACCGCTCTACAGGACGACCCACACCACCCCCTGCAGTCTGTCAGGTGAGACCACACCTCCCCCTGCAGTCTGTCAGGTGAGACCACACCTCCCCCTGCAGTCTGTCAGGTGAGACCACACCTCCCCCTGCAGTCTGTCAGGTGAGACCACACCTCCCCCTGCAGTCTGTCAGGTGAGACCACACCCCCTGTCAGGTGAGACACACCACCTCCACCCCCTGCAGTCTGTCAGGTGAGACCACACCTCCCCCTGCAGTCTGTCAGGTGAGACCACACCTCCCCCTGCAGTCTGTCAGGTGAGACCACACCTCCCCCTGCAGTCTGTCAGTCAGGTGAGACCCCCTGCAGTCTGTCAGGTGAGACCACACCTCCCCCTGCAGTCTGTCAGGTGAGACCACACCTCCCCCTGCAGTCTGTCAGGCAGAGGGCAGCAGGTGGAGCAGGTGAGCAGGATGTTGTGCTCTTTTCAGACAGTGTTTTCTGATAAAGCTGTATGTTTCAGGCTGGATCATGCGGGAGAGCAGTGGATGGTCCCTGGTCTGAGGAAGTGTAAGTGTCATGTGACTCATGTCATTTAGTCTGATGTAAACAGGAAGTGATGTCATGTATTTGTGTTTTTCAGATTCTTGTGAATTCTCTCTGGATCCAAACACGGCTCACAGAAAACTGAGACTGTCTAAAAACAACAGAACAGTGACTCGTGTGGAGGAGGAGCAGCAGTATCCAGATCATGAAGACCGATTCACAGAACAACCACAAGTCCTGAGCTCCACTGGTCTGACCGGGCGCTGTTACTGGGAGGTGGACTGGAGAGGACAGTGGGTTGATATAGGTGTGAGTCACAGAGGAGTTAGAAGAGACAAAAGGTTTGGAGACGATGATCAGTCCTGGAGTTTGAAGATAAAATATAGAATTCACCATTTTTCGACCAAAGAAGAAAGAAATGCAAAGGATTTGTGGGCGCTTGAAGATTGGTCGAATGACCATAAGCCCAACTCAGGTCGAGTGGGGGTGTTCCTGGACTCTGAGGATGGATATCTGTCTTTCTATACGGTCTCCTCAAATGGAAATCTGTCCCACCTCCGCACATTTTACTCCACATTCAGTGAGCCTCTGTTTCCCGGGTTTGGACTGAAGTCTGATGATTCCTCAGTGACTCTAGTTAATCTGTGACTGTAGTGCCCCCTTGTGGACACATAACAGCAGGGTGGCATGGTTTTGGATTGTTGAGGAAACCAACCTGAGCTCCACACAGAAAGGCCCGATTTGCCCCTGTCTGACCAACCAGGCGCTTCTACATCATGTTCAAATCCCAAAGGACCTGGAAGTGGACGACAGAGGATGAAAAACCTCTGTCCTAACTTGAGACAATTCAACCACAGCTGTAAATTTTTCATGTTTCACTCAAATGCAGAAGACATCTCCTCATTAGACATTAGAACTAAATATACAAGTTATTTTACCTGACATAGTTTGATGCTTTGATGATGAGGAAATCCACATTGTTTCTCAGTCTTTTTATGTTGTTTCTTCCTCTTTTTTTTCTTTGTTTTTTTTTTTATACATGCAAGCAGCCATGCTTGTTTTTGATGTGAACGGAGCATGCGTCTCTCTGCCTTTCAATCATGCCCTCTAAAATCAGGGAAACAGATCCATCCATCCATTTTCTTCCTCTTATCCGGGGCCGGGTCGCGGGGGCAGCAGTCTAAGCAGGGACTCCCAGACTTCCTTCACCCCAGACACGTCCTCCAGCTCCTCTGGGGGGGACCAAAACACATTTCGATATTATTTTAGTCAGATTTTGTTATGGTAAAAATGTTCCTAAATTTTAAATCTTTCATTATTCAAAATTTTAAATGTTGTAGACATTGGACAAAACTGCTATGGTCCTGATTGGCTCACTAGTTAAGAGATGGGGAGTACTCATTTACTTGAGTAACTTTTACAGAAAGTTTGCTTTTCAAATGGCATACTTTTACTCCTACTTGAGTAATATTTTTGTTGAAGTACTCTTACGTGAATAAAAATTGTGGTTCTTCTTTCGACTGCGAATAAATCTAAAGCGACAGAAGCTTTATGTCAAAAATAAATGAGTTGAAGGTTTGTGTTTCTTGCAGTGCTCCTTCAGATATTTGTGCACTATTTAACGTTTAATGCTTCAAATTATACATCAGATGTTGCACCCTTACAGTAACTTTTTTAGTTACTCTTACCTGAGTAGTAGTTTTCCAAATAATTTTTCTAAGTACTTTCTTTGACCAATACTTTGTACTTCAATTTGAGTCAGTGGTGCCTGCAGGGGTATGTTTGTACACACTGCGTACCTTGAATGTCCCCACTCAATCCAAATACATGTCCGTAGTTCTGCCTGGAGAAGTGCAACAGTGATTACTGACCAAACTGTTCACTTCTTTAAGCCAAAGATGTTCATTTTGTCTTCTTATGTACTTTAACTTCTTACACTACAGTAAAGTGTATTTACCTTGTTGACATGTTTTGGCTGGTCGCTGCGAGTCATCTTCAGAACTGTCCCCGGTGTTGGCGGTGGCGTGTCGTATATCAGTTGTTGTTACTTCCTGTGGGCGTGGTCAGACCTGATGGACCTGCAGGTCGCTCAGACTGACCACGCCTCCCGTCACCCGGTGTCCTCTGGAGGAGGGTGTCCCAGGTGTGTGAAAGGAGGAACGCGCCGTCATCACGGTTAACGCTGTCCGTGCCTCGTTTCCTGATTTCAATGGCCTCCTCGATCCACCGTTTGAACTTGTTGTTTTCTGATCCAATGACCAGAGAACACCGGGCGACGGGAGGCGTGGTCAGTCTGAGCGACCTGCAGGTCCATCAGGTCTGACCACACCTACAGGAAGTAACAACGGCTGATACACGACACGTCACCGCCAACACCGGTGACAGTTCTGAAGAATACATTTTACTGCATTGTCTTTATAAAGAACCCAAGAAGTTAATGTTCACTTCTTTACTGAGGGCAGGGCTATAAAACTATTACACATTGACACTGATCCTGCACCTAGATGAGCACTAGGTCTCCTTTCCCCCCTCCCATCCCAGCACGCACAAGACGGCGCCCCCCACAGTCTTATTTCATTTATAGTGTGATTTATGAATCAATGTCACACAAACACCAGACCTGAGGGTGAGAGTAACTCTATAAAACAAGTGCGCACATCCAATAACCAGTCTGTCTCTCTCTTTCTCTTATTCAGTGAGATTGAACTGAGGTTTGACTCTTCCGCAGCAGGTCGCGCTCTAGGTGCTTGTGTAGACGTCTTTGCAGAATAACTACTGATAGCTCACCATGTTGCAGTGTTGGGGAGTAACAGATTACATGTACCGGAGTTACGTAATCAGAGTACAAATTATGAGTATCTGTATTCAGTTACAGTTACTGTTTCAGTGAGTGGTAATTGGATTACAGTTACTTTGTTGAAATAAATGGATTACATGAAGGTATTTTCCTGTTTTCACATTTTGGGGCTATATCCCTTTTTTTCTTTTTTTTTTCGGTAATTCCAGTCATTGCTGGAAACTAAACCAGGTCTAAACTAGGAACTAGGACTAAACCAGGACTAAACCAAGACTAAACCAAGACTAAATCAAGACTAAATCATGCTGCCCGGACCGTGTCTCCTCCTCTTCTATCAATAATATTTTTAATTTGGGCTTTTTATTTTCTTTTATCAGACAAAACTTCTTATGGTACGATCTTCTGTATTCAGATTATGTTACTCACCTAAAGTAATTTAATGGATTACGTTACAAACTACATTTTGGGGTTTGTAATCTGTAATCTGTAGGAGAATACATTTTAAAAGTCACCTTCCCAACACTGCCAAGTTGGCAAGACACAAGTCAGGAGACATGTTTCACTTTTAGCTGGTAGCCACAATGCTGCTCTGACTTGCCAGAGTGACAGCAAAAAGCAAAAAGGTAACACAGTTTGAGAGTACTCTGACACACAGCTGTCTGTACTCACCTACTGATGCAGTGTGTGTTTGTAATGGGTTTAATGTTTGACCCTGTACACTAGGGATGGGCATGATTAGTCAATTAATCTATAATTGTCGATTACGTTCATTTTAATCGACAAACCGTATGTAGGTTGCTGTGCCAAACGGGGGTCCGGACATGCGTCTCTCTGCACTCAGAAGGAGCGAGACACAGTCGGTCAGTCTGCAACGTACCGAAGCACAAATGTGTATTTAACGATGACTTGTACAAAAGAATTCCACGCTTTCCGTTGCGTTCGTGAGTCCATGTGCCTGGTCATTCCCAAAGTCAGGACACACACTCACGGAGAGGCGTCTTTTCAGTATTATGGCCCCCGTCTATGGACCTGCAGCCGGAGGAGCTCAGGGCCAAAGAGAACATTCATATTTTAAAGAGTAGGCTCAAGACCCACCTTTTTAGCTTAGCTTTTGAATGAAATCTTATACTTTTACTTGTTTTTATTGTACACTTTCAGGCATATTTTTTAGGATTTCCAGTGTTTCCTCTGTAGGAGCGTCTGCATCGGGAGTGGAGGTCAGCTGTGGCTGCTGGGTCTGTCATGTGGGCTCTTGGTGGAGGGATGGTGCTTGGGCCTCAGGTGCCTGGGCTTCATCTCTCCCCTGGCTCCTGTGGTGGTTCCTGGTGGAGGTGGACGTCTCTCTGCTCCTGTGGTGGTTCCTGGTGGAGGTGGACGTCTCTCTGCTCCTGTGGTGGTTCCTGGTGGAGGTGGACGTCTCTCTGCTCCTGTGGTGGTTCCTGGTGGAGGTGGACGTCTCTCTGCTCCTGTGGTGGTTCCTGGTGGAGGTGGACGTCTCTCTGCTCCTGTGGTGGTTCCTGGTGGAGGTGCTTTCTCAACTGGTTCGCCTGTATTCAGCTTCACATTTTATTGTGTCCGGTTATGTATTTTAGCGTGTGAGTGTGAGTGTGTGTGTGTGTGTGTGTGTGTGTGCATGTTTGTGTGTATGTGAGTGTGTGTGTTTGGGTTGTTTGACTATGTGGGGTTGGGGGTGCAGGGGTTGGGTTGGTGGGTGGAAATGCGGGACTGTTTTTAATCACTGTAAAGCACTTTGTGTTGCATTTTGTATGAAAAGTGCTTTATAAATAAAGTTTGATTTGATTTGATGTGCACAGTGTACAAAGCAGCACATATGTTTCAGTGTCCAGTGGGAAAAAGCACCAGGACACAGAAAACATGAAAAAGTTTTGCCAGGTGAGAGTCGCGCAATGTGGATGACGAGTCCCCACCTCCCTCCTCTCGTACGGTGTCCTGGTTTTGACAAATGCAAATATGGTCACACTAACCTGTATTCACCTGAGTCATGCCGCATCAGCGACACAAGAGCTGTTTTTTTTTTTCTTCACTTAGTTTATGCAAATGAGCCATGCGGTTAAGTTTCGTTTCTGTGAGACTTGCGCAAAGCTGCATTAAGCACATTATAATTGTACAAAAGGCCCTTTGATTTCCATGTTCTTGTTAGATAAGTTTTCTGGGTTTTGTTGTAATCTGTAGAGGGTCCACTAGAGGGCGCTCTGACCTCATAAACTGCCTAAATAGTGACAGGGAAAAACGTGGTTCCTGTAACTTGAGTTCACTTTAGATTTGCAGATTGTTGTTTGGAAGTGTGTGTTTACGACCACAGTAAGTTTGTACCTTATTATGAAGCTGTATTATGTGCAGTGTTGAAGAGTAACAGATTACATGTACCAGAGTTATGTAATCAGAGTACAAATTATGAGTAACTGTATTCAGTTACAGTTACTGTTTCAGTGAGTGGTAATTGGATTACAGCTACTTTGTTGAAATAAATGTATTACACAGAGGTATTTTCCTTCACATTTTGGGCTAAACCAGGACTAAAACCAGGACTAAACCAGGACTAAAAACAGGACTAAACCAGGTCTAAAAGCAGGACTAAACCAGGACTAAAACCAGGACTAAACCAGGACTAAACCAGGACTGAACCAGGACTAAACCAGGACTAAACCAGGACTAAAAACAGGACTAAACCAGGTCTAAAAGCAGGACTAAACCAGGACTAAAACCAGGACTAAAACCAGGACTAAACCAGGACTAAACCAGGACTAAAAACAGGACTAAACCAGGTCTAAAACCAAGACTAAAGCAGGACTAAAGCAGGTCTAAAGCAGGACTAAACTAGGACTAAAACCAGATCTAAAACCAGGACTAAACCAGGACTAAACCAGGTCTAAAACTGGTCTAAAACCAGGCCTAAAACCAGGTCTAAACCAGGACTAAACCAGGACTAAAGCAGGACTAAACTAGGACTAAAACCAGGTCTAAAAGCAGGACTAAACCAGGACTAAACCAGGTCTAAAACCAGGTCTAAAACCAGGACTAAACCAGGTCTAAACAATATGACACGTAACAGTAGGTGGACATAATTGAAGGCAGCAGTGATCTCATATAAAAATAATTTCTCTATCAGGATGTGTTTGTTACCTTCATGTTGTTTTAAACATGACAATATCAAGTAATCCAAAGTATTCAGATTACATTACTCATATTAAGTAATTTAATGGATTACGTTACAAACTACATTTTGGGGTGTGTAATCTGTAATCTGTAGGGGAATTCATTTTAAAAGTCACCTTCCCAACACTGGTTATGTGTCTTAGTTTCCTATTACTGTTTGATTGTGTAAGGTTTATGTTAGAGGGGGACGAAGTGAATTTATATTTGTGTAGCTTGTATGTTTGTTGTTTATTACTGACAATTAGTAACTGAATGTTTTATTTCTGTTTATTCCTAGAAACCACACACATGCATACCCACTTATGTTCACCCCCGTCAATGTGTACCTCCTTACGTCAAATATAAGAACCTGAACGTCGCCATTTGTCTCCTCATTGCCTCCTCCTGCTGAGTCTTCATCTGGGCCTTAAGAGGTGTTCCTGCCGACACCCCAGAGCAGTGACGGCTTTACACCCCAACCAGTGCCTCCAGTCCAGTCCAGTTAAAGTTCCTACCCAACAACAGTGTTGGGAGTAACAGATTACATGTACCAGAGTTACGTAATCAGAGTACAAATTATGAGTAACTGTATTCAGTTACAGTTACTGTTTCAGTGAGTGGGAATTGGATT